AGAGCGCACATGCTTACATTCAGTGTGATAAATAACGGACAAATATTTAGTACATTTTGTTGAGCTTTAATCCATTGGCGGTAAGTTATCTGCGCATTAAACTCACATTCAGCAGAGTAAGGCTTAGTTAGACATGCAACGCACATCTGAACCACACTGGAAGGTCGTTGCACAAGTTCATCTTACTCTTGATACACACGACGATTGACCATTCCATAGAGCGGCAGTAGTTGATGCCAGCGGCAAACGGGAGACAGCAGCGACAGGACTGACTACTTCTGTTTGCCGAAGGAGATCAATGACTAACTGGTGATTTACTTCATGTGTGTTGACTGGCCGACTGATGCCCTTTTCGATGAACTCCACTTCCAACACCCAATCCTTCAATCCAATCCGCCCTCCTATATCGTTCTATCGGAATATCCACCCTTCATGGTTCCATAAAGGAAATTCTTGACTGATTTGACTTGACTACCTTTAGATGGTCGGTCTGTGTGTGCAAACACATTGGTATGAAACAATACTTGGCTAGCGTATGTGGTCGTGACTAATTGACCAATATGACTGTAGTGGTATATTATTCAGGCGACTTGCCATTGCGGGTCCAACTTCCGAATATGCACGTTAAATGAACACTCGTACCTTTTTGTAAACACTGAAAACTGCAGAAAGCCATAATTCCTACGAACGTTTTGACTTATAGAATAAGTTATACAATGATCAAACCAGGTGGTAACGAATTAAATCCAAATGTTTACATGTATAGCTGGATGGCAAGGTGGGAATTTATAAGTTAGCTAATAATATTCGACACAAATCATCTGACCTATCTAAGTTATTTATGGCGAGAGTGTTCCCGTAAAGTCGATAATAATTGGAAGACGCATCTCTGATTATTTTAGTAAAGCTGTTGTGAGTTTTTGTCTTGCTGATGTTTGCACTTTTGAGATTTACGTAAGTTCCACAAGATAGTGTGAGGAGGCCAGCGCAATGTATGACGGTAACAGCCGCCGTGATTAATTTGAATATTTCTTCAGTCATGATTGCACAAATGTATATCAGGGATACAAGTGTATAGGTACTAGTTGTCCCAAGATAGGATGCAAGTTCGGAATGACTGAGTGTGCCCCTTGCTGCTGTTTTAAAGTGGGTTGTTGACAAGTAGTCCGGTCTAACTTAAAGCTACCACGAATTCAGGGATGTTGTCTATACCATTTCCCAACTATGTATGTGAATTGTTCAACTGAATTCGTTCGATCACGTAGCGACGTCATTTATTACCCTATCAAGTTTGTGGCTTTGGCATCGGCCGTGCTTGAGCTCAGTCGTGTACTGACCTCATTGTTCGGCCGGCATCAGTCAGTTAGACGTGTGTGGTAGGTGTTGAGAAAAATGTAGGCATATGTGGCCGGATATTGTCACCCGCACGATGACGGGGTGAGAATGTTAATGTCTGAGGACACCAACCGCTGGTTACGATGGAAGCTGCGCCAATCTCACGGTCAACGATTATGACATAAATGACCGCTGACTAGGCGGTTGCTCGTGGGAACTATTGGGAAGGGAACAAAATTGGGTTGAGCATAGTGCGTCTGTTGGGTGACCGCCAAGCCGCATGGGAACCACTGCACATCACGAAGTTGAGTCACACTCAACAAATCAGTGAATGCTTTATGTCTCGGCAGTGCGCGACTCGGCTCGGGTCTTGTTACAGATGAAAAGATACACAGTTGCGTTTCACGAATGATATCTTTCAACATATGTTTATTAAGAATTCACCCCAATAAGCAATGAAATTCGGAAGTAGTTGAGCATGCCAGGGACAAGTGCTGAGGAAGGGGTTCCTTACTCTCATACAAGGGAATCTATAAATATCCTTTTCTTCACGTAGCAATCGTTTTTCGTTGCTTCTTCTATCACTGGTGCATATAAGCATCTTCAAACGTGGAATGCGGTTCCAAATTTTCAACAGCCAAAAATTTGACGATATAACTGTTCCATCATGGTCAACTTGAGGCAATTATCTTTAAAGTCAGTAAACGAATACTTTTTCCTAATGCTGAGATATTCGTAACCTCAAAATGATGTGGCGCACAGCAAGATATTTCTTGAAGACATTTGAACCTCGTATTTTGGGGATAGTTTGCAGAAACGCTTGGAGTAGACAGTGATGAAGTTTTCGTTGATTCATATTTTCGTCCTAGGAATTATACTCTCGCAAGTTACATGACGTATGGAATATCTGCCACCATGCGTCATAGGCATATCAAGCCCTGCAGTGTGAGCACTGTAATATATGAATTTGTACGGAAAACACAGATTTGATATCATTATTCGCTCCTAAGAGAAATGCCGTCCAAGGCCAGTACTGCGCTCACTGTAAATAAGTGTTGTGGAGAAACCAATTTTCCTTTTGGTAAACCGGAATCGATTTCGCTCAACAACCGTTTCGTTTGACTTGGGCAGGCTTGGGTTCATCAACGAGCAACAAAATATGCTTGGCAGTGAGTATACTTTGAGCAACCAAAACTAAAGTCACGAAATAATTTGCATTGGGAGATGCTCATACCATGCAGGGAAATGAATTTGGGTGTAATATGCAGCAAACAACATTTGCCGTAATCGACACCATGTTTCAAGAGATGTATGATCCTTACGGGATAACCAGAATTCAGAATATTTTGCGGCTTCACCTTCAGCCGCTTACATACAATTTGTGGAAAGAGTAAAGGAATGCAGTCGAAATTGGGGTCCATAGGATAATCAATAAAACTGTGAAAATCCAGGTCATTGCCTGCATCTTACCAGGGCAAGGCAAGACCAGCCGCAAGGTCTACCTGTTTGAAAAGTTTTGGTTTTATTCTTCGGATGGCAGAGACTTCAGAGAAACGAAGCAAGCCAGCGTTGTATATATTTGGATGTTGCTCTTCTCAACACTGGCACACCAAGACCGCGGTTTCGTCTTGGTTTAGACTCGTCAAGTGGAGATAGCCTGAGCTGGGGTGGAAGTCAGAGCTTAGAACTGGCAGGGAGTTTAGGTCCACTATTTGCCTGCTCAATCGCACAGCATCTGCTCGACTGTACCTTGTGCAAAACCCACGTGACGCATTCAAGCTTATCAGCAGAAAAAACAATGCTGGCATGCTTAGTTTCGCTGAAGCTCCTGACATAAGACGAATGAAACCAAACCTTTGCAAAGAGGTAGAACTTATGGCCCTGGTAAGATGCAGGAAATGAGCTTGATTTTCTCTGTGTCATATTAATTTTCTTATGGACCCCTTTTTCAATTGCATTCCTTTACTCTTTCCACGAATTGTCTGTAAGCGGCTGAAGGTGAATAAGCGAAATATTCTGAATTCAGGTTATTCCGTAAAAAATTCTGTTCGTTCTTGCTCTCTTCAGATGTAAGCTCGGCTGAAATTGGATGTGAAACCTCCTGTGTGACCCATACCTGTGAGAAAAGTTAAATTGTATTTCGTCTGTAAACTAGCATGCCATGTCATTTTTCCTGATTCCAAAGATATGATTTACGTAAACAAGAAATGGCAAAGTACCAAGGGCGCTTCTTTTAATGCTTGTTTTGAGAAGTGAAAAACTGTTGCCTGTTTGTACCACTTGCATCCTAGCTGAGAGGTATGCCGAGAGCCAAGTGGGTTGTGAAATAGAAATAGAAATGGAATATTCCAAATGTACGGACAAGCGGCATACAATCGCTATATAGGCATTATCATTTTTAAGCAGAATTTGTTGCCCATTATTTTATATTCTGACTGCCAATGTAACATACACATTTTTGGGGCGTGGCTACACAAGACGATTTTAACATGTCGTGCACAAACCTGGTATCGTATAACGAGTATTTAATTAATTCAGGAGCACTTTGGCAAAGCCAAAACGTGAGAAGGTCTGTGTCGCCAAATTCTTCAGTCTGGAATTACATAGCATGACTAGGTTTGTGTGATCATAGCGACTGGCACTCTGGTATAGACCAGTAAATCAATGCAGAAGATGTCAATGGTAAACGATAACCACTGATGCAATTAGAAACCATTAGGTGGGATCGACTGATACAAACAACATACTCCATGCAAACATATCGGTAGATAATTGCTTTTCCAAGTTGCTTGGGGCAAGACAAAGCACACTGCGTAAGTGCTGGCCATAACACTGTAAGTCAGTTGGCAATTTTGTGGGGCATATGAGATAACAGCTCAGAATGGTTTATTTAATTACGGGTGAAGATTTGACTGTGGACAGCAGATGCTGTTCGTCATTCTGAATGACAAAGCATCTGTAAGAATAACTCGCTTTTATTGCTACATGGAAATTAAAGTTACGACGAAGCCGGAAAGATAACACCTATCAGATATGGATTAACTTAAATTACGCTACAAATGCCATGAAACTGGATTGACAAGTTAAACAGAAGTCAAACTGCAGAAGCAGAGGTTAATATGCGACAATCCGCAAATACAAATTAAACTTTTCCTTTCCTGTACAGATGTGCGTTGTGTTCGCAACAATAAAACAATCAATCAATCACTGAAAACAGGTTGATATTTCAGAAAATTTCTTGAGGATTGTCCTAATTGCTACAACCTCGTCCAAATGTTCAGTGCCGATTGTCAAGCGAACAAAACTAGGAGCTCATTTCACAATGGATGCACAGGCCGTAGTACAGATCTGTTAGCATTTTCATTAACGGACTGCTTCTGCTCGCGAACAGTCGCTTCTCTGCTGGACAATAAGTCGACAACAGACAGCTGGATAGTACTTGACGTTTTATTCTCACCTCCACCAACAACCATTCAACTCAAATCAGATGCGACTTCCTTTGTATTCCACACTGGTTTGGAAAATCACGTACATGCAAATGAAGCGAGCAAATCAGTTACCAACTGTCATTCTGACACACTTGAGTTGCTTACCAATGTTCACACCGATATTTGCTATATATAGAGAGAATCATTCTGCTAGAAGAATGTGACGCTCAAGACACGATGAAGGCTGCGATTTTCTTGTTCGTTGTCACTGTGGCATTAGTTCAATTCACTCAGCCAATTGCAGGTGAGTTCAGGATAATCTGCTTGTGCAGTCATGATCACTGTTTTAATCCCCTTATCAAAATTGTCTCCATTTGTCCCAATTTAGCTTTCATGCGTATCAACACTGCGAGGTTGCCACCGTCTGGTGGTTCGAACAGACTCAATGTGACGGGATCAGGTTCGTTTGTCTTCTTTAAAAAAATGAACTCGTCTACTTCATTTGATCCTCTAGCTGAACCGATTAGACGGAAATGTGATATTATCCATTTGTCATTGCATTGTGCTTCTGGTTATTTGCGTATTATTCGAACCAGGTGTATCCATTTTTGAATTGCACATGAATGTCACAAAAAAGGATGGATGGGAAGTTGGTTAATGGAACAGTTATATGCTAATTCATCTGCTAACAGTTGAAGCGCGTTTGGCAAGTTAGAAATGGTAACTAATTGAATAAATCGAGCCTTTAAAGTAGAGGTAACGTCTGTTCATGAAATCCGGCTTATCATTTATAAATGATATAGATTTTTCACCAAAGTAATAAAGAGCGCGCATGATTATATTTCGTGTAATATCAGTATCAACATTTAACACGTTAGTTAGAGGTGGTAAGCATCTCAGCTACTGTGTCTTGTACTACATTACGGCCAAACCATGGTTGCAGTGGTTTGAGCTTTATGCCACTGGCGATAAATCATCTGCTCATCAAAGACACGTTTACCACAGTACGACTTAGTTAGGCATTCGGCGCACATCCGAACAACACTGGATGGCTGTTGCACACTTTCAAGCCACTTCAGTGACGCACATTTCATCTATCTTTTGATGCACACGACGATCGATCATTCCATACGGCGTCGATAATTGAGATCATCGGACAACGGGAGACAGCAGCGCAGGCATGAATACCGTTTTACTGTAGGACGTCAACCACCAACTGCTAATTCACTTCAAGTATGTTGACCGCCTGACTGAGACTCGTTTTGATGAACGCCACTCCTAACATCCAATTATTTTTTAATTCCATTCTATCTGCTTCTGTTTTCATCAGGTCGATCTGGGCGTGCAAATAGAGCACGAAACGGACGTTATCTTGCGGATGCACTTGGGACTAATTAACATTTATGACTCGCAAGTATTTCGATGTATGCGAATGCGATTTGTTATTGTTCTCTAACTTCCAAATGCATAAGTTAACGGAAGCGCTTGTTCTTTTATACCTGCACTGTAAACCGAAAATAGCTAAATTTCGCACGGAACTTTTGACACCAGGGATAGGTTACACACGATTGACACGACTGGTATCGATTAGAGTCAACTTTTTACAGATACACGCGTTTATTTCCAGCTGATAAATTGAACGGTTAACTAGTAAGGATCGACAAATTCGAGCTTGTCATTCAGCATGTTGTTTCGTGAAGTTGTTCCCATGACTGCTATAATCCTACGACTGTTGTCTCTGCCAAAGACAACAATGTCGTTGCGTGTATATTTGTTGCAATGTGATCCGTGACATAATTGATTACATTCTGAATGCGATGAATCTCGATCCATAGCAGTACTCTCTGCACACCACAACTTATTATGATTAGGTTATTTGACCGTTCCGCCCAGGAAATCCTTCGATAGTGCTGTGAATCGATCCAGCATTTTAGGAATTAGTATGGCTTCGATTATATTGGCTAAAGGTAGAAGGATTAAGTCTGATTATTTGGTTTCATTATCGGTTGTCAGTCGAGCCTGTACTTGCTATTCGCAAAATCCCCAGACGTTCGCTTGGTCCGATGGTTGTACGTTCTGGTTGCACTGCGTGTCAGCCGGACACTTATCTATGTCGCAAATTTTCTTCAGTCCTGTTTCCAAATTTTCCCGCTATCCAACCTGCATACACTCATTGTATCAGGCTCAACGAGCTTTTTCACCGAATATCATCTCTCCTCCTATTGCGTTTTGCATTTTCTCGCTTCAAGACAACTGTACGAATTGGTTGCCCTTTCAATGAAGGGAAGTCAAGAATTCTCTTTTATGCGCTCATGGATGTTGAATTTTCAGCTGTAACAAACGTGCGGTCGTCAAGTCCAAGGAAAACGATATAATACATGCAACTGCAGTAATAACTGCGACTGAAACAAGAATTCAAGTGTGGTACAGAATATTTAGTATGTTTTCCTGTGTAGTCCTTGTATGTTAATATTTGGATCAAGCAGAAATGCAGCAAGATTAAGTATGACAGATGAGCCGTAAACCAGCGTGCGTCTTAATTGGGTCTGTAGTTTCATCGCGGTGAAGAACTAGTTTTAGTTGGATAAAACGCTATGTAAGGGAGGGCTGAGGTCAGTGAGCATTTTCGAAGCAGGTTATGCGCACGAATTAACATGAACAGGTACAATGTGTGGAACTAATGTTGTTTTATAAATGTCACCACATCGACATGTGTGTTTCAGTGACCTATGAACTACTTTGAGATTCCTATCCAATAGGTGGGGTAAGATCACAGAAGAAGAGCAAGTCAAGTGTGGTAGAACACATGCCATAATGGATAACAGGATCAACTGATAGGAGACCAACGATGACGTGAGTCATAAAATGACAGTCGTCTGACTTTGGTGAATACTTCATTCCCTTGAACAGACAACAGTAAAACATGGCTCAGTGTGACTCCAAGCTATTTCATTGACGTCGGGATTCCCTGGCTTTCACCACTGATGTGAAGTTGGTGACAGTCAGCAGCACCTTTCCAGCGACGATCTTTCACACGCAACGAACACAGTACATCGTTGTACTTGGAAGCATACAGCGCTAAGTCGCGAAAGTCTGACCAATGCACGACTTTATCAAAACAACATTGTAGCTTGGTCAAAAATGCTGAAGTTGGATGATTCGCGCCGATTTGTACGTCATTGACGTCGTTTAACATTATGGTTCTTCAGGGGCAGGGACAGAGCCAAAGTAGGTAGAGAATAAGAATGGCAATAAAATGGCTGCTTGAAGGACGCCAAAAGTATTGGTAAGAGGCAAGGAGTTCCTGCACCTAAACCTATTTATCTGAGTACGTTTGGCAAAATATTCCTGTAGCAAAAGTGCTATGAATGGTTGGACACAAGAAACCAGAAGATATTGCAACAAGATTTTACGGTTAAGTAATCAGAGACCTTGTTGTAGTCAAGGAACCATACAAGTATGGCTTCGTTCTTGTTGTCTAGCGCCGACAGCACTGAGTACACTAGACATAGCACCGCGCCATTTGTCGACCTGGGACTTCGGTATGTAAATTGCTGTGAGTCATTCAGACAGGATTGGGTTAGCAACTTTTCAAGAATGAATTTCTCGATGACTTTTAAAACCACCGAAATGCACGCAGTCGTTCAATATTTACATGTCGCTTTCTTCAGTATTGGTATTTGGCCAGCAGCTCTCCAAATGTCTACCATCTTGCCTTTGTTTAGGCACATGGTGTACAATTCAGCTAGAGATTTGGCTAGTGAATCTGCACACCCGGTATGGATGAACAGAGATAACCGATCAGGTCAGCTTGATTTGCTTGAGTTAGCTAGATAAGCTTCCTGAGCATTGAATCAACCTCAACAAGTGGCGATGAGTCTGTAGGCTACTTAATCTGTGCAGAGGACGAGCTAGAGAGTGAATAACTGCTGGGGCCGCAGAAGATGTGCTTTAATTCTTCTACGAATATATCAGAGTCCGTACAAGGACGATCGATTTCATTAAATTGTTTCATAATCTGCCAACTCCTACGGTAAATATCGTTCCCCAGTATTGTCTAGATGGATTCTTGATTGGGAAGGTGAATATTTTCCTTGATGCGTAGCAAAAGATACTGTACTGAGGTAGGATCTTTAACCTTGAAGGCACTCTCCTTAAGTCGTTGCAGCTGCTTGAGGATTGGTGAGGAGAACCTGTCAACAGGAAGGAGAATATTTTCCATCGGACGGCAGAGATCAAATCAGTACTTCGGATAACCTGTCATCCGGTCACAATGGGATTAGACAATTGCATCGAAAATCAAACGGAAATCTGTGCATGCAACCATTACTTTCAGTTGTGCTATATTTTGGGGAATGATTTGTCCCCGTATAATTATACTTTTCTTGCAGCGCGTGACTGCCTTGTTGTTGTTCTTAATGTGGACGACAGAAGATATCTTGACTATCGGATGATCAGAACTTACAAGTGGTTCACGAGTACTGGCTGAAAATATCTGCAGGTTGTCTACAAACGCGAAGTCCGGGTTTGCTTACAGCCTGGTTGGACATTTCACGATGTTCTGTAGTCCAAATCTTGTGCGGAATGTGGTATCAAACCTATTGAAATCACCAGTAATTATGCATAGGGAATGGCCAATGTGTACAATGTCAGCAGCCGTGAAATCATTGTAAAATATGTCTTCTTCTGAGCGTGGACAATTGGGTGATGTATAAATCTTGGCTAGCAGGAATGAGATGTACACACTCAGATAGTTTGGCGTATATTTAGATCTAGAGAGTCGACATGTTGCCATGAATAGCAGAACATTTCCCTCACTGATGAGCACCAGGAAAAAGTAATAAATGTGTTAGCACTACCACCACGGTTGCAGAACATGCACAGGCGATCAGCAAGGTGGAAAATAAAACCGTCAACTGCTACAACAGCGTATTCAACGTCTTAGTAACGCCTTTCTTGCTGCATCATAATTCCTCCTGGCTGCGGGTATTCGCGACAGCAGAGGTTGCTTTTAAGTTATTACATCTTGCCGAGAATTTAGCGGACCTTGGTGATGAGGAAAACAGGTATGCTCATACTCGACAAACTTTTCCTCCCCAGTGCAACCCTCCATCCAGCACGACACTTATTTGCAAATTTATTAAGCTTTTGGTAGGTTTTCCTAAATGTGTCTACCACTTGGGATGCAACGCATAACCACTTAAAAATTTCACCCGTGAAGGAATCCTGTTACTAATGGTAGATAGAGCAGTAGATAAGTAAAATAATAAATTTATAACTGCTACCGCTGAAGATGTGAGTGTTAGTAATTTATATAAAGAGAAAGGTGGAGCATGGCCGAAGTTGCAAGCCCCATCGCAAATTCTGACCATTTTGGAAGCCCGTGTTAAGGGCTTTCTAACAACTGCTCAATTAGTTAGCTGTACAAGGCGAACGAACTCACCTCATCTACCACTGCATCTGTTGTCGACCAGTGGTCCAGCAGAATTGCACCAGTGTTTCATTGCATTTCGTGCTACTTTAACCAGCGCCAGGTCGATACATTGGGAGACTTTGCCCACTAGACTTCGTCGACCGTGCCCTTGACGTGCAGGCTCAGTGAAGTGACCCACGGATGAGACCAACGGAACAGCAAGCGACTAAACTAAAGTGTTTTGACATTCGCCTGTCGGTCAAATGAACGTGTGGTTGTTGTTTAAACAAGTATCTTCCAACCAACGCGCAAATATATTTTGGTATAGCAATAATCAACTGCGGAACCTAAACCAATCAGTTTTGGTTGCACCCTGAAGCAAATGGTTGAATCCACCCATCCCTCTTTTAGAACTATCCCACGTCGTAACCTCCTGCATTCGTTTTATAGTATCCAGACCCAACACAGATTAGCTGTACACCCATTGTAAATGACGGCTAGCACAATTAAAATGAATGTCCCCTCAAGTAGGAGAAAGAACAAACAGTAAGTTGCAGTCAACCACACTGGTAATGCTTCTAGTATCCTACCTGATAGGCTGAAACGCGTTATCTTACTAGAGGAAGAAAGCACTGTATTAAGAAGCAGACTTTGTGAATTTGGCAAGAACTGTGACCAAATTCTGTCATTTTGTGAGTGGGTCAAGTGTTCAGAAAACCTGAACTTGGATCGGCCATTAACGGCTGGTTCTTTCTTATCGCTTATCACGTCTAAGACCTAGGAACGCATGCACAGATGGCAAAATGTCACTATATTCAACGTACCTGATAGTCTTAGTATCGAAAGAGTTAAAAATACTCTTCTCACGGCCTGAAATATGGAACAGCGTAGCTATATTTTTTGACCGGAAATTATCAACATGACTTCTTACCTGATGCTGCTAAATTTCCCAGATGAAACAGCTGCCAATTCCTTTCTGAGGTCC